CGTCTGTCTGTCTGTCTATCTGTTCATCTGTCTGTCTGTTCGTCTGTCTGTCTGTCTGTTCGTCTGTCTGTCTGTTCGTCTGTCTGTCTGTTCGTCTGTCTGTCTGTCTGTTCGTCTGTATGTCTGTCTGTTCGTCTGTATGTCTGTCTGTTCGTCTGTATGTCTATCTGTTCGTCTGTATGTCTGTCTGTTCGTTTGTCTGTCTATCTGTTCGTCTGTATGTCTGTTCGTCTGTCTGTCTGTTCGTCTGTCTGTCTATCTGTTCGTCTGTCTGTCTGTCTGTTCGTCTGTATGTCTATCTGTTCGTCTGTCTGTCTGTTCGTTTGTCTGTCTGTCTGTTCGTCTGTATGTCTATCTGTTCGTCTGTCTGTCTGTCTGTTCGTCTGTCTGTCTGTTCGTCTGTCTGTCTGTTCGTCTGTCTGTCTATCTGTTCGTCTGTCTGTCTGTCTGTTCGTCTGTATGTCTATCTGTTTGTCTGTATGTCTGTCTGTTCGTTTGTCTGTCTATCTGTTCGTCTGTATGTCTGTTCGTCTGTCTGTCTATCTGTTCGTCTGTCTGTCTGTCTGTTCGTCTGTATGTCTATCTGTTTGTCTGTATGTCTGTCTGTTCGTTTGTCTGTCTATCTGTTCGTCTGTATGTCTGTTCGTCTGTCTGTCTATCTGTTCGTCTGTCTGTCTGTCTGTTCGTCTGTATGTCTATCTGTTCGTCTGTCTCTCTGTTCGTTTGTCTGTCTGTCTGTTCGTCTGTATGTCTATCTGTTCGTCTGTCTGTCTGTCTGTTCCTCTGTATGTCTATCTGTTCGTCTGTCTGTCTGTCTGTTCCTCTGTCTGTCTGTTCGTTTGTCTGTCTGTCTATCTGTTCGTCTGTCTGTCTATCTGTTCGTCTGTCTGTCTGTCTGTTCGTCTGTCTGTCTGTTCGTCTGTCTATCTGTTCGTCTGTCTGTCTATCTGTTCCTCTGTCTGTCTGTCTGTCTGTCTGTGTCTCCTAAGCCTCAGCCCCCAGAGGATCGTTTGCAATGATTTTTGCGCCGTTGAATAGGGAATTACATGTAGTTGTTTTTGTCGCCATGGAGCAGTGGCTAGCGCGTCGGTCTATTGCCCATACGATCCGGGTCCGACCACTCGAATTGTGCTTTTTAAAAAGTCCAAAAGCACGTTGTAATTCCACCTGTAATTCTACATGTAATTCAGAAATCCTTTTTTCCCATTCCTTACTTTCCTGATTACTAATTTTCTTGTTCTGACCTTTAAGGTTGTGAAGAGCCGGATATCTCTTTCTCTCTTCCCCCTTGTATTTCCTCTTTCTTCTCTAGCAAAAAAAGATATCGGGTAGCTCAGTGGTTAGAGTATCTGCCCGGAAAGCAAAAAGGACAAGAGTTCAATCCCCTCTCCGGAAATCTTTCTTTACCATTCTTTACTTTATTTTATTACGCAATCAAGGGGCTGTCTTTTTCATCAACGGAATCGATTTAAGCATGATTTACCTTACTAGCAAATGATTCAAATAGTGGATCATGTTCTCAAAGATCTTTGCCCAATTTTTCGAATTTAGTCTCACCTTTCAAGTGACGGTGAATGTGTTGAAGGTGAATGGAGAGATGAGTGAGGGAAAAGGATCTTCCAGGGAGGGGAAAGACGAGGAAAGGAGGGACAAAAAGAGTGGAGATGTGAGTCATATCTTTTCCACTACGTAACACCGCACTTTTTCCTTCTCTTTTCCCCTTCCTTTCCACCTTTTTCTCTCTATTTCCCTTTAGGCCAGTTTCCTCTCGATTTTTCTTTTCCCTAAACCCCACAAAAACGTTTCGCGCATTCTCCTCATTCTCCTATTTTTTGACTCTTGCAAATGCGATCTTAAATTCCGGTAGATGGCTTTTATTAGTTATTAAATGGCTTTTATTAGTTATTAAATGGCTTTTATTAGTTATTAAATGGCTTTTATTAGTTATTAAATGGCTTTTATTAGTTATTAAATGGCTTTTATTAGTTATTAAATGGCTTTTATTAGTTATTAAATGGCTTTTATTAGTTATTAAATGGCTTTTATTAGTTATTAAATGGCTTTTATTAGTCAATAAATCAAATGGTCCTGTTAATCATTTATTTTAGCGTCTCAACGATTGCTTACCTTGTTGCAAAGAGTGCAGCCGAAAGATTTGTTTTCCATGAGCTCAAAGCACACTGCACAATTAAGAAGAAATCGATTTAGAGCACACTTTCTTATGGAACTGTTAAATCATTTGATTGGGAAACATTTTTTGGCGATTTTGGCTATTTTGACCATTTTTTGGCTATCTTGGTCATATTTTAGCCATTTTTTGTCCATATTTTGGCTATTTTGACCATATTTTGGCTATTTTGGCCAGTTTTTGACCATTTTGTCTATATTTTGGCTATTTTGTCCATATTTTGGCCATTTTGTTCATATTTTGGCCCTTTTTTGTCGATTTTGACCATATTTTAGCTATTTTGGCCATTTTTTGACCATTTTTGTCGATTTTGACCATATTTTGGCCATTTTAACCATTTTTGGCCTAAGCCTAAGCCTTTCTTATCCTTGGAAAAGAATTTAATCCATTTCTTGCTGTGCTCTAGATCAATTTCTTCTTACTTGTGCCGTGTGCTTTGAGCTCATAAAAACCAAATCTTTCTGCTGCGCTCTTTATTTCTTTATTTCTAGAGTCACTAATCTTTTTCACATCTATCCAGTTGATTTCTCAGTCTCGCTTTGCAAATCGTTTCCCTCTTTTCTTTTTCCCAGCTGTTTACCAGTTCGACGAATCGAGTCAAAATACGATGACTCGACAAGAGTTTCCGGTTTTTTCTAGATCGACGTCAAACTTTTAAAAAACAGAAAACATGCAAAATATTTCATTCAACAAGTTCTGTCAAACAGAAAAGGCAAAACAGTTTTCAATGTGCCACCCATGTGCCAGCCATGTGCCCCACTTGTGCCCCCCGTGGCTGGCACCCGCCAGCCCCATGTGCCAGCCATGTGCCATTCCATCCATTTCAATGTGCCATTCCAATCATTTCAATGTGCCATTCCATCAAAGTCCAAAATCGTCAGCCATTCCAGCAAAGCTTCTATTTTTGAGCCTAGAGATATTGCAGTGATTGAACATCATTTGGGCATCAGTTTAAGCTTGAGACTTTACAATATAAATCTTTTTCATTTATCTATTCATTCCAAATTAAATCCTTTTCAGAAAGAAGAGATGAGAAATGAAGGAGAAGTTGGAAATAGATTCTAGAAGAATTCAAATTCTAGAAGATTCAAATTCTAGAAGATTCAAATTCTAGAAGATTTGAATGAATAAACGTTAATGTTTGAATGCAAATCGATCATCACTACGCGTAATTCCCTGCACAATCAATTGTCAATCAATTGTGGGGTAATTGTTTTTCGAAGTGCACGAAAAAGAAGGTCACTGGTTCACTTCATTTTTTGATAGAAACTTTTCAAATATTTCTCTCCAAAATTATCAGTTTTCATCCCATTCTTCTTCTTCTTCTTCTTATGGCAAAGAAATGAATTGGAATCACCTTATCGTTTCGCTCCAATTCTCACATTTTATCTCAAAATATAACAAATATTATGACGTATTTTTAACCAAACTTTAACCAAACTTTAATCAAACTGATTGCTAGTAAAGATTGCTAAAAATTCTTTAATAGAAGGTTGCTAAAAGATTGCTAAAAGATTGCTAAAAGATTAAATTCTAAAGTTTAATCTAAAGTTATTCTAAAAATATCGATTCCAACAGTTGTTAGAGTTTTAAAATCTACAATGCAGTGAATCGTAGAATCAAGTGAATTGTAGAATCAAACAAGTGCAGAATCAAAGAGTTCTACAATAATAGCAAGTTCTACAATAGTAGAAAGCTCTACAATAGTACAATAGCTTTTCTACAATACAAAGCTTTTCTCTTGTAAGCTCTTGCAAGCTCTTGCAAGCTGTAAGCTCTTTTTGTCATCGATTAGATTTATTTTATTGTTTTGTTGAATATTTTTGGTTCAAAGGTCAACCTTTTTCTCCGTTTCTCTTTTCTAAAAAAGTCGATTCTTCATTTCCGCTCCTTTTCTGGAGAGCCTCATTTCTTTCAAACATTCTTTTTGCTCAAAAAAACCTCTTTACTTTTTCTATGCTTTTAAATTCAATTTTCAATTTTTCAAACCATATTTCAAACTATATTTCAAAGTTTTATTACTACTTACTTTTTTTCTTACTTCTTTCATTACTTGCAAAGCTTTCAAAGCTTCAAAGCTTCTAAGCCTAAGCCTGAGCCTGAACTTCAAAGCTTCAAGGCTTTCAAAGCTTCAAGGCTTTCAAAGCTTCAAGGCTTCAAAGCTTCAAGGCTTTCAAAGCTTCTAAGCCTAAGCCTGAGCCTAAGCCTGAGCTTCAAAGTTTCAAGGCTTTCAAAGCTTCTAAGCCTAAGCCTAAGCCTGAGCCTAAGCTTCAAAGCTTCAAAGCTTTCAAGCAAAGTTTAATTGAAGACTTTTTCAAGATTATATTTGATTAGAATGATTGAAAAAGAAACTAGTTTAGCAAATTGAAACAGAAACTGGATTAGCAAATTCTTAAAACTAGTTTAGCCAATGAATTCTTGTGTTTAAAAGGCTTTTGTGTTCTTTTTACAGAGAAATTTTTGCAAACCTTTCAATTATTCTTTTCCATTCCTTTCCAGATGCAAAACGAATCCCAAAAGCTGGTTATTTTTGGGTAAAATTAGTGATTTTGCTGAGCCTAAGCCTCAGCAAAACTATCGAAAAGCTTGATTTTTTGAAATTCCAATAGCAATGCTTTCTTTTTTCTTCGTTTTTCCTTGTTTTTCTTGTTTTTCTTTCAAATTTCTCAAAATCCATCCCGTATTGGCTAATTTTTTTTTCAAATTTTCAGTTCACTCTCAAATCAATCAATTTTCGGGTGCTTTTTTCTTTGCGACGGTCACCTCTCTCTTCACCTAAAAGGGATCAAAAAGCAGAAGAGAGACACGAAAAATGAGGCTGTATTTTCTCGTCTTACTTTTCTTTCTCCTACTTGAAGCCAAAAAGCAAACGCCTGCACCAGCCGGTAAGAGTTTTTGTATCTTTAGCTAGCTATAGTGTAGCTTTAGCTGTAGTGTAGCTTTGTATCTTAAAAAAATTGGGCACTTTAACTGGTTAACAAATTTTTGTTCTACCTATCTAATCTATTAATCTATTTAATCGATTACTCGATTCATCCAAGAAAACGAAAAATGAGTGCGCTAGGAGGTGTGTGCGTGTGTGTGTGTGTGTGTTTTCACTTTGGAGCACAAAGTACACCAATCTTTGAGTACAAAGTACACCGATCTTTGAGCACAAAGTACGCCGATCTTTGAGCATAAACTACGCCAATCTTTGAGTACAAAGTACGCCGATCTTTGAGCATAAAGCTACGCCAATCTTTGAGTACAAAGTACGCTGATCTTTGAGCATAAAGCACACCAATCTTTGAGTACAAAGTACGCCGATCTTTGCGCATAAAGTACGCCAATCTTTGAGTACAAAGTACGCCGATCTTTGAGCATAAAGTACACCGATCTTTGTGCACAAAGTTAAGCCTTTCATTCAGTAGGCTTTTAAGGGAAATTTCGAAATTTGAGAGTATTGTATTGAACAATAAGTTTTATTGTTTCGTTTTCAAGGTTTAACCCATTCTTTGTCCCGTAAAACATTCACTTTATTCTAAATTGTGAAATGGACTTCGTTCTCGTTCTCGCAAAATACGACAGTACAAAGGGTTTTGCGCTTTCCCATTTTTTACAATCTAAATCCTCTTTTAGTTAGGCTCAAATTGGGTTTTTGCATTTTGTAAATTTCTGAACAAATTTTAAAGTAGAAACAAAAAAACAGAAGTTAGCAAAAGACTTTGGAAAGATAATTTGAAAGATTTTATAAAAAATGGCAAATTAAAGAGATGAATTAGACTGTGTAATGGATTGTTAAATAAAGTTTTTCAAAAGATGTACTCCAGAAAAAGCTACCACAATCCAATAGTGACCGAAAAATAAGCTAGAATAGAATATAATAAGCTAGAATAAGCTAGAATAAGCTAGAATGAGCTAGAATAGAATAGAATAAGCTAGAACAAGCTAGAATAAGCTAGAATAAGCTAGAATAGAATAGAATAAGCTAGAATAAGCTAGAATAAGCTAGAATAAGCTAGAATAAGCTAGAATAAGCTAGAACAAGCTAGAGTAAGCTAGAATAAGCTCACGATTCTCTAGGATACGGTAGCTTTTTCCTTGCGCATCTTTTAAAAACTCATTTGAATAGAGAAATCGCTTTAGTTACTGTATTTTCAATTTCCAGGCACTCCTCTAGTCCAATGCCTTGAATGCCGAGCAAGAGATGGAAAATGCACAAGGATTTGCGAGGGTTTTTATTGCTACAAGCAAGAGTACACCTCGAGTGGTAAGCTGAAAACAAGTACACGAATGTTGTTAGTTAGAAAATGTAGTTTAAAAGCTTTCATTTCATTGCCTTTTATACAGTTTTAGCTCGGGGGGTCATCAAAGTGAAAAGGGGATGCATGAATGCGACCGATGAAGGAGTGGCGATTGGAGAATGTCAGACAACACGCTCAAATCTGCCCGGATCCGATGCGCAAAAGGCGGAAACGTAAGGGAATATGATTAGCGTGGAATATTGGACATACTGTAGTTACTTAGTACTGTAGTTACTGTAGCTTTTGTCTTTGATTGGTTCTTTTCCTCACTTTTTGTCTTGATGCAGTACCCTTAGGTTAACCAAACTTTAGATGATCAGCTGATCTAACTAATCTTTTCTCAAAGAAATTACCTAGATTAATCTACTTGCTGGTTCTGGTCTAGCTAATCTACTTGCTGGTTGCTTTAACCAATGAGAGTTTTATAATAAAAGTGCTCCATTTCACTACAAAATGTTTACAAGATACTAGAGAAAGGTACTAACTCGAGGTAAAAGCTCCATAAGAAACCGAACTCCCATCCTGTGATCAGAAGCCTTATGTGTTATCCACTAGGCCACAAACGCACGCTTTTTCCGTCTTTTAAAAGTCTTTTAAAGGATCCGTTCAAATTTGTTCAAAAAAACAGAAACAAAAAGCTACATGAGGGACCGAAACTTGACCCTGTGGGCGGAAGTCGTCTTACGCCTTATCCACTAGGCCACAAACGCACCCTTTTTCCGTATTTTAAAAGTCTTTTAAAGGATCCATTCAAATTCGTTCAAAAAAACAAAAACGAAAAGCTGCATCAGGGGTCGTTGATCGTGTCCTTGATCAAGATGGGTTCTTGCTGCCCCTACGGTACAACAGGGTACCTTGGGTTGATCAAAAATTCATCTCAGCCGCCCCACCTTTTCACGGGTACTTGGGATCCCATTTCGACCGGTGGAGAACCCACCTTTGTGGCCAAAATGAGCTGGAATTGGGTTGCGCCAATCCTTCGCCAAGGTTTGGATGCAGTGACCCTGTGAGGCTTATAACTGGATTTGACCGAGGCACGATCAACGGGTGGAAGTCTTATACCTTATCCGTGGGTGGAAGTCTTATACCGGGTGGAAGATCTGTGGGATCAACGGGTGGAAGATCTGTGGGTGGAAGTCTTATGCCTTATCCACTAGACCACCAATGTACCTTTCTACCCCCAGGAAAAGCCTTTTAAAGGCTTTTAAAGCATCCAAGCTTTAAAGCAAGCAGCTAAATTTTCGATTAAATTTTTACAAGCCCGGCAAAACATTTGACAGATTTTGATTTCAGATTTCTCATACCCGATTCTCATACTCGATTCTATAAAGTGCACTAGGTGTCCAGCCAAAAAAACTCATCTTGAGTTTGTGCCTTTTCCTAGTCAATTGAAAGACTGAATCTCTTTAGTTTGAAGAACAAGCTTGGAGAGCTTTTATTAAGGATTACTGTACGTATGAGACAACTTTTTGCTTCCCTTTCAGCTAATTGTAGGCTACAGAAATGACCAGACCCTCAAAAACAGTAAAACAACTGATCACACCTTGCAAAAGTCACACTTTTCAGACTCTGCATCTGCAACAGTCACAAGTGCAATGGTTCATCGAAAATTCCATCTTTACACAGTCTTCTCGTCGGTGCTTTCGTGATTTTCTTCGCAAAACGGTGATGTGATCGCATAGACTGTGATAGATTCGTCACTCTCGAGTTAGAAATTTGGAATTCAGTAAACTTCTCCACTAAATAATGACATCGTAATACCTGTAATAGAGCAAACTTTTAGACAATATTAGTCTTTTCTTCTCTAGCAAGAAGATACTGGATAGCTCAGGCTTAGGCTTAGGCTTAGGCTTAGGCTTAGGCTTAGGCTTAGGCTTAGGCTTAGGCTTAGGCTTAGGCTTAGGCTTAGGCTTAGGCTTAGGCTTGAGATCCCAGATAGCTCAGTGGTTATAGCATCTGCCCGGGAGGCAAGAGTTCAATCCCCTCTCCGGAAAGCTTTCTTTGCCATTCTTTACTTTATTAGTTGGCTATCAGGGTTAGCAAAGACAGGTCAAAGCCAGAGCAATAGCTTTCACTTGGTCTAGGATTTCAGCTTCAGTTTTTGTTAAGCTTTTAGCTTGACTTAAAACCCTTGCATTGACTTGGCTGGTCTAGAATTTACGGAAGAAAAACAACGAAATTGTATTAGGTTTGGCTTAGCTTGATTTCCCTAAAAACTTGGTTTTTTTGACTATTACAGGTTTACGGTAGTCAAAAAAACAACTCTAATTGTGAGCCCAATCTTCAGTCTCCCAAGTATCAATTAGCCCATTAACCCATTCGAAACTTCTGCAGCGAATAATCGCTGCAGCAAAAACTCAGGAACGGACCGCTGCAGCGATTATTCGCTGCAGCGCTAATTGAGCTATTTTCATTCAATTAATTGCTTTTTTTTTGCTGTTTTTCAGCATTACATGTATATTCCAATTGTAACAGATCTACAAATTACGTGGGCAAAAAAGATGTTTCATATTTACCCGGAATCAATGCAGTCTCTGGTTTTGCATTGAAATGTTCCATAATAGCTCTAATCTTATAAAGCCGATCTCCTGCAGGATCCAGTTCATTATCACAAAAACGCAGGTTGCGAAGAATAGATTCAAATTTTGCTCTTGACATGATGTGGGACATGTGGGGAAAATCCTCCTAATCCAGGCCTGCTACTCCAGTAGTCACGAATCCTCGGTAATTTGACGATTCCCCTTTGAAGCCAGGAAGAGCTTGAAAGATTTTGCATCGAAATCCTGCCAGTTTGTTTTCCTTTTTCCATGTTTATTAGATTCGCCTACTAAAATATTGTCGTCGATAAAATAAGAACAATAATCGACAGGATCTTGAAAAGTACTGAAGTCAAATCCAAATCGTTCTTCATCAAAAATAAATGGTGTAGGAGTCTCTCTTACATCTTTCCAACCATAAATAAACTGCTTCGGAGTCAAAAATGTCAAAAAAGGGCTTGGTCCGTAGACGAAGAAAAAGAAAAAACGCTGCGGTTTCGAATGGGTTAACTCATTGTCTGATATACATACTTTCCTGTCATTTCTTGTCCTTTCTGTAAATTCTCTTCCGTCAAATTCCAAAGTACACCAAATTGCATATTCTTTTTACTGTTTCAACTTGTTCAAAAGATATTCTCATTGTTTAGCAAGCCTTTACTTTTATCGGGTTTGATTTTTTATAATTATAATTATAAATATAATTTCGTTTTCGATACAAATACAATTTTTGATTTGTAAACTTTCGCCTTTATATCACTTTTTAAGCGAATCGGGTCCTCTTGTCAATCTCTTCAAAAATACTCAGAATTTCTTTTTCCTTTCATCCCCTCAATTCCCAAGTTTGGTTGTGTTTTTGTTTGAAATTAAGTACATAAGTTTTTAAGATTATTGTTGTTCATATCAAGATTTTGTGCCTTTTATGTTTTTTTTTGATTAAAAATGCTCAAGATTAGCGTTAGGCTTGCGAATTTTAGTGTCTCTTTTCGTTGTTTTTGTTTTTATCTCTTCGATAAATGGTTAAAAGATACGAAAAAGCAATTTGATAGAAAAAATAGAACTAAATAAGTACCGTAAAAAATAGTTCAATGAGATTTTTCATCCGGATTGAACAAGCGAATCCTCATATCAAACGATACTTTTTTTTGAACCAGCTGAACCAGCTGCAAAGAAACAGCTAGAAAACCAGTTAGTTGACTTATCTGATTACAATAGCTACTGTACTCATATAAGTTACTACAGAGATCCTACAAGCCAGCTACTGCATCAAGTCAGCTACTGTATCAAGCCAGCTACTGTATTAAGCCAGCTATCAAGTTAGCTATCAAATCCCACAGCTATCCGGACACTTTGGTCAGTAGCCGGATTCAAAAGGATTGCTGAGAGAAGAACAAGTGAGGGGACTACTGTAAGAGTAGTTTTGAGAGCTGAAACAAGAATATCCATTGCAAAAAGAATGAAGCTCCCTATTCAAGAATGCACTTTGATATATTTATTGGGTTGGTGAATTGAAAACGGCGGGACTTTGAACTAAAATTTATTCATCATAAAACCATGAATTCATTCCAAATAATTTCCATTATTATTGACGACTTCTGCCCATTTTACAGGCAATTTGCGGATTCCTCTTTCGTAGTAGGATCTTGGTTTGTGTGAGACAAGTGTGAGACTCAAAAATGGAAGACTGGAGATGTCAGCTGTCAGCCCAGTTTGAGCACTTTCTTCAAAAGAAACCCATTTTGGTGTCAATGGAAAAGTTGTAGAGAATCAAAAATTAGGCTTATAGCCAAATTTTCAGAATGATTCAAAAACTGGTTTTCAAGAAATGCCAAATTTACGAATTTTCACAAAGCTTGCAACAAAACTTGCATTTTAAGCGAAACTACTAAGTGTATCTTTTTGGAAATTTGGCTATAAGCCTAATTTTTGATTCTCTACAACTTTTCTATTGACACCAAAATGGGTTTCTTTTGAAGAAAGTGCTCAAACTGGGCTGACAGCTGACAACTCCAGTCCTCCATTTTTGAGCCTCACACTTGTCTCACACACAAATTGGTAACTATTAGAACTATTTGGTGACTATTAGATACCAGTTTGATATCTATTTGTTACCTATTTGATACCTATTTGATACCTATTTGGTAACTATTTGGTAACTATTTGGTATCTATTGGGTTGGTGAATTGAAAACTGAGGGCTATTGTCATATGCTACAGTTTGAGCACTTTCTTCACAATTCACCAACCCAATAGTTTACGATCACAAACACAGAAGTACTCCACATTGTGATTTTTGAAAGGATTGTTGAAGAAAAGAACAAGTCACCGCTGGGGGATTGCCTAACATTAAGTCACCTACTTAGAGTCCTCGATTATCATGCTGAGGTACAATATCTAAATCGTTTGCAAAACCATATTGACTAGTTCAGTAGGAACACGGAAGCACAAAAAACACGGCGAGCAAAAATGCACAAGCTGGGGTACGATGTGCGTATTCACCTCACAGCAAAAAAAATCGACGAGGAAGGTTGATCGTCGACCAGTCTTCATTGCATCTATTACTCTAATCACAACTATTCTTGCATCACAGTATCCATTCTCTTGTACTCCAATATCTATCACTGTCTCTACTCTATCTCTGATTTTTGGCCTTTTTTGGTTTCCGCTTGATTCTCGTTATTGGGGATTTTCTCCCCTCGACGCGTCGCTTTCCTGTCACTCAAAACGCAATTGATTTTGGGTATATAAACAAAATTTATTATCCCAATAATCTTTATTTGATACTAGTTTATTATGCGATGATCTCTTAGCAATGGAGCCATTCGTAAATTCTCTCAAAATCGGCTTCATCATCACCTCGTCGTCGATTTGTACATTACTGATTGTCTATGTTTATCACGAGGTAAGTGGATTGGTGTTACAGCTGGTAAAACTGAGAAACGGAACTACTACTTAGAACTACTTAAAACTACTTTAATAGAAACTTTAATAGAACGTTAGATTCATTGTGAGAAACTGCCATTAACTAGTACTTGAGCAGCATAAGTGCTTTGAATCCTAGAATGCTAGAATGCTAGGAGAATTCAGTCTTGCTAGCAAGTTCGTTTGTTAGTTAGTTAGCTATAAATTGTTTTACTAGCAAGTTTAGAAAATTTAATAAGTGCATAAGTAAGCTATCAAGAACGAGAGAAGCTCTCATTTTGATTGCCACCTCACCTTCCACTTGAATGTTGGCCCAAATAAACTATAAAAAATACATTTATTCACATAAAACATGTGGCACAAAAGCACAACCCTTAAAGCTTAAATATAGGAAAGAAAAAATCCATATAGATGGGGAAAAGAACCAATAATCTAGCTGGTGGGTTTGAACCTTTGACCTCCCGACTAGGATACAGGGAACTTAACCAGTCGGCTATGGCTATAACCAATAAAAGAAATGTTGCTACCGTATTTCCTCTAATAAACGCCCCCCCCCCCTTGACCAACTTTGGACGCTTCGTTCTCAGCTCCATTTGGAGATATTTTTATGTTTAAAATATCAAAAGATAGAAGACATTAAGGGCTATCTTTTGATATATTAAACATAAAAATACCTCAAAATGGGGCTGAGAACGAAGCGTCCAAAGTTGGTCAAGGGGGGGGGGCGTTTATTAGAGGAAATACGGTATCTATTAGGTACTCTGGAAAATAACTGCGTGGTTCTTAATGATTTTCAATTGCAAAAATTTTAATTAAACAACAATCAAATTAATCAAAATAACAACTGTTGGAATCAATACACTTTTGCCAACGAATAGCCAGCCAACTAACGAATAGCCAACGAATATCATCATTTTTGGATGAAGATCGGACTCCGGACAAATGAAGTGCTTCTGCTTTGTCTAGCCACTCAGAATTTCGTTTTCGATTGTCATATAGCATTCACTTTTCATTCCACGTGCTCAACCGATCTAAAAATGGATCTCTATTGCGCGAGATTTCAATGAAGAAGCGGCAAGAAAGCGTGTCAACTTCCGGCGGTCATCCAATTGATGAGGTATCCACTTCTCCAGTTTTTTAGCCTTTCTGATATCCTTCAAGTGGTCATTTTTGGTTGAAATCATTGAATCATCATCATCATCATCATCATTGATTGAACGGCCGCGCGTCGCTTGAACGGCTCTCCTTGTCATCAAGGTCCCCGTCCCCTTCCCGGAATCGTTTGAACCAAATTTGAGCTGTTCTAGCAGAAGTAGCCTCATGACCAAATGCACGTTTGATGCTTTCGACCACAACCGTTGCATTATGTCCAAGCTTGAGCTCATACAAAAAATCGTCCGAATTTGTCGTTTGTCCATTCTTCTTATGCCGATCACCTAAAGTTAATCATTGTTTAGATAAACAAAATTTTTACGGCATTGCAAAGAAAAGCTATAAACAATTTTTCGTTAAAAAATTCTACAGGAATTTGTCGTGAAAAAACTCAGAGACAAGGCTCGAAATAATTGATCTCAAAAAACGCAGTTATTTTCCGGAGAATCTACCGTAAATACTGTAATAGCACCCCACCCCCCCTCGTACAGTCGCGTAGTCGCAAAAGCTTTTTAGTATTTCATTTTTTCCAAAGCGCCCGTACTTTCAAAAAATGCGTCTTTGGTACCAAAAAATAGCTGAAATTCAGGGCTATTTTTTGATACCTAAGCGCGCATTGTAGCATAAACCAGTGTCGAGAAAAACTCGTCCAAAGCTAGACTACACAACACTCCGCACCGTCATTATGGGGGTGGGGCACTATTCTAGTATTCACGGTAATATATCAAGCAGTGTTTAGAAGTAGGTATTTTTAAAATCGTTCAACTGAATCTCTAGCATCAAAACTTTTAGCTGACCGAACCATGCAAAGAAGAGTTCGCCTTTCCGAATTATCGCAGAGTCTCGAATCTTCGCCAAGATTCTCCATGCTCCTACTTAAAAGTAAGCATTGATTCAACTAAATCTTAGCATTGAGTCAACTAAATCTCAGCATTGATTCAACTAAAAAAGGTAGAATAAAGGATTAGAATAATCCCTTATTCTACCTTTCTCTAATCCTTTGTTCTACCTTTACCAAATAGATATTTTTAGATTCCCAACACTTTGGACACAATGCTGAGTTCATGGCAAGATTTCATTTCAGCTCTTTCTTACATAAACAAAGAAAAACTGCTAAAAATCTTGCCCAGAAATCACTCGGATTTGGGCGTTGCGAAGACCAGGAGCATATCGATTTTGCCGACAAAATTGAAAGATGTAAGTTTCAAGTTTTCAAGTTTGTTGCAGTAGTTTAAAGTTTGTTACAGTAGGATTAGAGATCTAGCACTGACACTGTGTTTTAACTTTCAACATTTACCAAAACTCCACGAATGTATTCTAGGTGGGTAACCAAGTGGCCTCAACGGTGCGAGTCCTCCAGATTGGCGCCCAAGACTCTCGAAGCTCTATTCGATTATTGGAAACAGCAAAGGTATCCAACTTTAGATATTAGATCTAAACTCACAACTATTGTAACTAGGTATTTCTACAGCAAGTTACTGCTGTAGTAATCCCTAGTTACAATAGTTGTCAAAATGAGCCAAAATGAGCCAAAATGAGCCGGAACTGGTCAACCCAGTTTCGGCTCATTTTGACCATTATATCGGGTTCATACTGCAAGTTTTATAACAAGAGATCAAAATGTTACCAGGCTGTGTTTGACCAGGCAATTTTACCAGGCAAATGAGCAAATCCTGAAGCTTTTTAGAGTTTTGTGAAGGACAAATCTATTCACTTGATCCCAATCTCAACTTGGATGACACCCACTTATGTAAAGAATGAAAATGGAAGCTGGGAACGGGCCGATATCGAAGAGTTTGTTTTGATATTTTTTGTCTTTTTTGTTTATTTTGATTGTTTTGTTTTCATATCATATTTTATGATTATCTAAAAAGTTTTAGTCTCTATCCAGATTATTTGAATGATCTCCAAACGCACGAGCTTCTTGACAATGTTTTTCCGATGAGGCTGCCATTTGATGTAGGTTTCTACGAAAAGTTTATGGTTCATTGTTACATTTTTGTTGAAAAGCTACTATCGAATGACTTGTTACTATTGGGTTGTCCAGTTATGAATGCGCGTTTTTTACTATTTTCTCAGTAAATTTCTCAAGATACCGAAATCAAGAAAAAGATATATATGAGTATTATTCGAAAGCTGAAGATCTCCTCTACATTTTGATATAAAAAGTTTTTGAATTTGTTCAGCTTTTGGGCAAATTGTCTGCACAGAAGAAGAGGTGGCCAAAAAATGGAAGGGTGCCTTTGGATCAAGTTTTGGCTCCGCTCAAATTGAGTTAGCCGTTTGATGTTTAGCCAATAGATATATCAATACAACTTTTTTAAAAGTATAACAATTTCAGAGCATCTTTACTTTTCTTTTCTTTTCTGGGCGGTTATTTTACACCATAAAACTTGAGGAATAGCTAAGCTGGAATGGGTTTTTTCGAAAACAACCTCTCCCTTTGAGCAGTCGATTTCCCAAAAAGTTGAATGAATTCAAAAACTTTTTTTATTCCAAAATGTAGAGGAGATCTTCAGCTTTCGAATGATATATAGCACTCATCTACATCTGTTCGGTATCTTGAGAAATTTGCAAAATAGTAAAAACGCGCATTCATAACTGGACAACCCAATATAAAACTGGACGATCTAGATCAACAAATATCTAGCGCCGTCAGATCAAATCACTATTGACTCTGAAACAAGATCTTTAACGAAAAGATTTTCGTAAACATTTTAACGAATAGAGTGTGTTCTTCTCCAGAAATAATGTAAAATAGGAAACGAGTGGATTGAAAATAAACTGAATGTCTTACAAATTGTAGAAGATATTTAAGATATTCATTTGATTTCGACCTTCCGTTTCCTATTTCATTTCTTGAGACGAACACTCTCTACAAGATAGATATCGACTACAAGATATCGACTATAATCGACTATTAGAGCCAGATCAATAGGAATATAAGAATACTATATATAAAACCGAATGTCTGTCCGTCCGTCTGTGCGCGACGCTCCAAATCCCGTGGGCGCGATCTAGCGGTGTCATCGGCAAATTCCGGGGCCGAGGCTTAGCCCTCGGGGTCTTTCGCCTATGGGGATTCCGATTTTGATGTTCATTTTCAAAAAGGGTCGTGGCTTAAATGGATATATGGTTCTTAAATGGGTATATGATTCTTAAATGGGTGTACGGTTAGAGTTTTCACAGTAAGAGGAGCTCACTTTCGATTAGCTGAAGATTATAACGGAATTTGAGGATTTGAGGGTATTCTCTTCTTACCTTACCTCACTAGATCAATTTCAGAAAGCAGCCGAAATCCTGGAATGCTCTGGTGTGTCTTTTCATATTTTGTATATAACCCCTGACAATATGGCGGATATCGTCTTTGCTCTCAATCGTTTTCTGATTTTTGTGGAAGAGGGTGGTTATGTGATTGGAGAAATGAGAACGAATGCGTCGAATTGGAAAGGTGGTTACTGTTTTTTGTGTGCAGGATTTGTAGAGCTGAACCGTTACTTGTGCCTAGACAGTCTAATGTACTCTAAACAGTGCCTAGACCTTCTTTTGTCTAATGTATTTGCTAAAAAGCATCTAATTTAGAGAACTACCGTCATCAAGTTGCCAGTTTTTGTTTGATTAGCTCAATTTTGGTGTTATCGAATGAGCTTTGCGCTTTCTCATTGAAACAAAATTGGGTTCATCGAAATTGCGCTAATCGAACCTAAAATGACAGCTTGATTACGGTAGTTATTAGAAAAAGATGGCTTTTAGCATTGCTTGAGATTGAGAAATTAGGTTGTCAACTATTAGGTTGGCAAAAAGTTCTCGGAAAAAGTTTGCACGGTGATTTCTTAAAAACCCAGCCATCAATTCTTCCCAGAATTTTTGATAAACTTGACTATATTACAAAGTTTTTGACAAAACAATCGGAGTTGGCTTCAGGTAAAATAAGAGCTAAGAGCTGCTAAGAGCTAAGAGCTAAGAGCTGCTAAGAGCTAAGAGCTGCTAAGAGCTAAGAGCTAAGAGCTAAGAGACTTCAGCTAAGTGACTTGGTCACTTTTGAGTGACCAGCCTTTAGATAAGTTTTTAATGGATTAATGAATAGGCAATGGATCCCATTCAAAACCTAAAATCAAGTACTTAAAATAGGAAAAATTTGCGATGGAGGCAATATCTAATGCTTTTCTAATGCTTTAACCTTTCAGAATCACCTATTTTAGCAAACATTCACTAGGAATAGGAAATGTTGTTAACTTATCGTGGTTTTGACTCGGGAAATAACCTATCAGATGCTGTTTTTCACGCTGATTCCGAATCTGCAATCAGTTTTTGCCAAACGCTTCTCTGTCGCGAGATATTTGGCCTACAAGTTTTGGGATCTAGCACTGATAGATTAAAGTTAAAGCTATTAGGTTGGCAAGAAAGTTCTGGGAAAAAGTTTGCACGGTGATTTCTCAAAAACCAAGCCATCAATTCTTCCCAGATTTTTTGATAAACTTGACTATATTACAAAGTTTTTGACAAAAGAATCAGAGTGGGCTTCAGGCTAAGTAAGAGCTAAGAGACTTCAGCTAAGTGACTTGGTCCCTTTTTGAGTGACCAGCCTTTAGATAAGTTTTAATGGATTAATGAATAGGCAATGGCTCTCATTCAAAACATAAAATCAAGTATATAAAATAGGGAAAATTTGTGATAAAGTCAAATTTAATCTAATGCTTTAACCTTCCAGAATCACCTATTTTAGCAAACACTCAGTGCCAAGAAGATTATACAAAAAAATTTTTAAAAACCCCCGGATACAATTTTTCTGTTCAATTTGAAGTTTTTGAACTTTAAAATGCAAAACAGAAGACAGATGTGTGTTCTCGGTGCGCGATCACAATCGCGCTCGTTCTGGCATCCTATGTTTCCAGTTATAGTTCCCTTTTCACGTCTCAAATCGGAAGCGTCCATTTTGGGTCATCCGGTAACCAATCCGTTGTCTGCCCCATGTGGTCACCGCTTCCCAAAACTAACCTCGGCTGTAGAACTGGTGAACCCAGTTCCGGCTCATTTTGACCATTATGGCGGGTTCTCTGTCGGTCGAAATGGGATCCCAAGTGCCTGTAAAAGGGTGCTGAAGGGGGCCGGTGTGAATTTTTGGATTCATCCCAAGGATTTCGGTCCGTAGGGGCAGCGAGAAACTCATGAAACCAAACCAGTAAAGGGCTCAAACATTGGAAAATACTAGAGGTCATGTTGGCCTAAAATCGAAAGCCTAAAATGACCGTTTGTGGCCTGTAATGGCCTAAAATGAAGTTTTTTCGAAAAGTAGAAGCTCTTGAAGCTTAGTGGCTGGAAGGTAATTCTTAAATTAGGTTGGCAAGAAAGTTCTCAGAAAAAGTCTACACGGCGATTTCTCGAAAACCAAGCCATCTCTTCCCAGATTTTTTGATAAACTTGACTATATTAAAAAGTTTTTTTCTTTCCTACATTTAGGGCTTAAAAGGTGCACTACTACAGTGCGGTGCACAACCATACGCCACCACCTAAATTTCAATTTTCTGCGGCTCCCGTGCCAGTGACAAAAAAACTGAAAACGTAGTTAGATTCAGGACCAAAAATAACTCTTAAACCCCAAAAATCGTCGACATAGCATGAATAGGGAAAATGTAACAGCCAAAAAACGAAAATTCACCAGGTGCAAAACCATACAGGGTACGTCATAATTATTGCAACAAGAGTTCAAAGACCGTTTTCCAAACAGCTTTCTTATTGTTTTTGTCCCCTTTTTTGTTGTGTTGCGTTCTATCTTCTTTATTCTTGCCTAATTGCCTCCCGCACACACGAAGAAGACGGTTCAGGACTGGTGTGTGGCCAACTTTCCCTCAGTGATCACCAAGGATGAATGGCCTCCAAACTCACCGGATCTCAATGTGATGGACTTTTCCATTTGGGCAATCTTAGAGGCTAATGTCTGCTCTCGAAAACACACAAGTTTGGATTCTTTGAAGAAGTCTTTGACCAAAGGATGGAAGGCGACTCCTCAAGATGACATTCGGGCCGCAGTGGAGGCATATCCGAACCGATTAAGGGCTGTTATCAAGGCAAAAGGCGGTCATATCGAATGATCTCTTGTTTCCTTATTTGTTACTGTTAAATAAAGCTATTTCTGTTTAAAAATCTTCTTCCAGTGAAACTTCTTGGTGTGCAATGCCTTGAGTATCTTGTTGCAATAATTATGACGCACCCTGTACGCCACCGCCCCAAATTTTGGTGTCGTTGTTGCATTTTTGTTCAATTTTTATGATAACAAGGTTTATTTATAACAATAACAGTTTAATATTTTGTTGTCTGTCCCTGAAGACTGATCACGTCAAATATTCGACTCAGCATGCTGTTAACTAGCTTCTTGATGGTGCTTCTTGGAATGGCATTCCACTCGCGGATAATGGCACCTTTGAGCGCTTGAAATTGATATTTAGGGGGTGGCGTATGGCTTTGCACCGCACTGTATTAGAGAAAATACGGTCTCTTTCAAATTATATAATTCAAATGATAGAAGCTAAAATTCATTTATTCAGACATCATTTTTAAAGTTCACTTTTTCCAAAAAGTTCATTTATTTAGTTTACAACATAATACATTTATTTAGTTTACAATATCATTGATTTTTCATGATTATTTCCATTTTCAGATACCTACGATCGAATTCAACAAGTCTCAACCACACAAAAAAGCCTCGAAAACGATGGAGAGTACTGGGCGATCAAAATCAGAAGACAACTCTTCAAAAGATAAAGAAAATAAATTTTGATTTATTTTATTAACCGTTATAAATTATGTACACAAATTTGGCACAAGCTACTCGCAGTTTTTGACTCGTTTCTTTTTAGGGTTTCTCTTCTTTAGCAAACCAATTGATCTCTCAATTTCAAGAGGTCCTCTTTTCTCGTGATTATGTTTTCTCCATAGGCGATTTGATTAAGCTCGCTGAAATTTGAAAATAGATTGGTTTTGGAAAGTATTTTTCTCTTGATTTGAAAACGCACTCAATCTGGCCATTAAAATTTTCAATTTGACAGATTTAGATTGGTAGAGATATTTCTACAGCTTCTACATCTTCTTCCAACAATTTACCTGTAGCAATTATTAGGTTGATGCAAAAGTCTTTTTCATTTTTTTCGTACTTCCGTTAAAAAGTAACAAATGCACCAATTGAACAACGGTTTATTGCATTCGAAAGGCCAATTATTTTTCTGCAAAATGACATTAAAGCGAGTTTAAAATGTCTTATGTCTAGATTTTTTTGAGAGCCTGAAGTCGGGTAGTCAAAAAAGGCGACGGCTCGATGATGCATTTTAGACGCTTTAGCTAAGGAAACCAATCTTGATGTTAATAAATAAAAGATAGAGCACAAAAAGTTAGATATTTTTTCAGATTTTCAGAGAAATTGATTCAGCCAATTTCTTTATAGAGGTTTTTATAGATTTTTATGAAAAACCCGTTTTCACTCTCGAATTTGCTTGAAAGTGAACCCAAATTGACTTAAAAAGATGGGAAATTCAACAATAAACACTTTTCATTTAGAGCAAACCATAGGTCAATTGATGACTTTGTTATTTTTCAAAAGAAGTACGAAAAAAATGAAAAAGACTTTTGCATCAACCTAATAGATTTGAAGTGTACCAGAAAGAGTGTGTTTTCATTTTTGCTCACAAAGCTTTTGCTTCAGCTTCAGCTTTTGACAATTTTCTGACTCACTTGGCCAAATGAGCAAGGTTCGGCGCAAGAACGAAGAGGCGATTCAAGTCATTTGAAATCAGAATTGATCGAGCTTTGTTCACATATTGATCACCACTGAAAACCATTTCCATTTGAGCCTTACGTTCTTTTTGTTTTGCATTTTAAATTTGATCAGAAAGATCTCTGAATTTCTTTGAAACCAACCTGTACCCATCAGACACAAAAATGATATCGACGGGCGTTCGGCGGACTCGATTCGCGATAAGCTGTTCGGCCAAATCCATTGCCATTCCAGCTTCACCGATTCCGCCAAGGAATTTCAGACCTAAACTTGATAAATAAAGTGCTTTTTGAACTTTTTCAGTTCTGAATTTTTGAAACTGACAAATAGAGTAATTCAGTAAGCCTGGCGAATGTTAGATTTACGAGATGGTCACCAAATTATAGCGACTCACTTCTAAGGATCTAGCTCAGCGAGAACTCAATGAATCCGTATGAAACTTTTGGAGATGATTTTTGAGTATGTCTCCTGTAGCCAAGCTCGTTCTCTAACTAATTTGTGCTTCTTGAATCTTTATATAACCTTACAAAGTTGAGAGTCGCGGTACACTTAGCGAAAAAAACCTAATTTAAAATGAATTGACTCACCGTTGACTCTTCTCATGAAAGCGAGATTATCGAGGCGATCGTCGAACTCAACCACAGCTCTTGTTCTCTCTCTTCGTCCATAAACGATCAAAGCTGCCTGAAAAAGCTTTGAATTTGGGTATAAATCAACTTTTTTTCTTCAAAAAATCGATAACTAACCAATTTTTGAAAAGGCAAAAATGCTGAGGTAGCCAACTGTTTGACCAATTCAAGGTTTTTCTTGAAAGCTTTTTGATTTGATCCACTTGCGTCAATGATGAAGAGAATGTCTCGGCAAGCTGCAAATGGATTACATATTAAAAGCCAGTAAGATTTTGAATTGTCTTCAAGTCTTCTGTAAGAAAAATCTTCAAGTAAATTCACCATCAGTGTTCACCGGCTTCTCGGGAATCAACGGCATCATTGTAGTGAGATGAGGGTTCAATTGAAAGATCTGCTCGAGTTGGCTGTCTGAATTTGAAACTAAAGTACTTGGTAGTAAAAAAACTATAGATTTTCCTTTCTGATTTTCAAATTTAGGAACTAAGAAGGTTATCTTGCCAATTATCTTGCCAATCCCAACTCACCAACACTTGGGGTCCACAAAGCTCTTAATGTGTCCAGATCAGGAACGAAGGGAAGCGGCGATTTGTTCTCCTGTTTGCTTTTTGACATCTGTTCCACTAAAATTTAGATTTTATAAGTTTTTCAGTGATGAAATCTATAAGAATTAACTTACTGGCATCTTTCATCGAAATGCTTCGAGATGTACGGAAATGAGTTGGGTCGAAGTCCATAAAGCTGGTTGAGAACTCTGAACTTTCATTGGTACTCAAAAAGCTTAGAAAACAGCCTTATAGTAGTCAGTAAATGGAACGATCTTTTATTGAAATATGAAAGATCGTTCCATTCGGCACTGACCTCACTAAAGCGCCTGCAAAAACTTCAAGATTTTATGAATTCAAAAACGGTTTTCCCCTTTCTTTGGCCTTGAATTCAGCTTTGAATTCAGCTTTGAATTCAGCTTTGAATTCAGGTTTGAATTCAGCTTTGAATTCAGGTTTGAATTCAGCTTTGAATTCAGCCTTGAATTCATCTTTTAATTCAGCCTTGAATTCAGCTTTGAATTCAGCTTTGAATTCAGCTTTGAAATGAGCCATAACACGTGTAGATTGGTTGAGTTTAAGAATCTCACCCAAAAAATAAACAGAACTTATCTTCTAACCCTTCTAACCTAACCCAATAGCTCTTGGTCTTGTATCTGGTAAAGTTCTAAGCCTTGCCGTGAGTTAAGTCTTACAGTGTTCCGAGAACAGTACCTTTTTTGCACCTAATAAGACCGTGATTGCTTCTAAATTCTTTCTAAATTCTCTTCTAAATCTCTTTTCAAATCACTCAAATTATCAACTGTTCTTTCGCCCAAATTACCATTAGTATTTCCCATTCTCTTTCCTTCCGTTGTCGGTGTGTCAGTTCCCAAGAAAGTCGTGGCCGATGTCCTTCCAAATGTCGTCGTTTTCCCTCTCCCCTCACCAACCCGGAAAACTCGTTGATCATCAGTGGGTTGTGTCTGCAATGATCAATCAATAAGCTCACAACATGACAAATTGAGGCGAAAAAAAGAGCGTCTCACTCTCGTGAACCCTAGTAACCCGTTCCACTTTGGTGATCACAGAAATTTCGCGAAATTTCACGACTAGATTAGTTACTGAAGTTAGTAGCAAGACAAATAAACAAGTTTCAAAATAATCAAAATTTGTAATCAAATACCGTATTCTCTCTAATAGTAGTGCGCACTACTATTTTTTCAACCGCCTCTCAAACAGCAATACTATTAGAGAGTGCACTACTATTAAAGAGTTTTATCATTTACCAAAGTAAGACAGATCTTTGTTCCAAAAATTCTTGCAATTCTTTCACGTACTCCTTTGGCTCCTTTTGACATACAGTTGTGGGCCGGCGAGTTGACAATTTGTGTCTTGACAAACAACAAAAAGATGTTTTTGCACTTTGCACAACAATTTTAGATTTTTTGCTAACTTTTTCATGTGAAGAATAGTTAATGAATGAGTAAAAAAAATCCTCACATTTGCTTGCTTGAATAGCTTTAGAATGTCATATAAACATAAAGTTAAAAAGGTTTAGATGAAAAAGAAGCATCAGAAATTCAAATTTTCGAGGGTGCACTACTATTTTTTTAACCCCATCTCGGACCGCAATACTATTAAAGAGTGCACTACTATTAGAGAGAATACGGTAATCAAAATTTGTAAAAATTTAATAAATTTCCCCTTGCAAACCGATTTATGTCGACTGCGATGAGTGTGCCAGGCGGAGTGCGATCCGGAGCTCTCAAACTTTTTGTGATATTGCGGGGTGTCATCGATGAAAGAGCTTGACGTTTGCTGGTCCTCAGTTTGACTGAATATTAAATTGATTTATTGATTGATTGATTGATTGATTGATTACTCAATCAATCAATGAATCAATCAATTGATATTTAAACAATATTTCTCAAAAACTCACTGTCTACTCGATTGTGTCAACTTCGTCAAATCGTCACCAGGAGCCTCGTGAACAGCGGTGCTCAATCGATGAACGGTGTCCATTCCTTTTGTGTCAAAGGTTGAAGCAGCAACTGGAATCAGAAATAGACGAAAGAATAGATTGGTTATTGATTTGCATTTAAAGTATTTTAGACAAGACAAGTATTTGTCTCTAGAATCAAACGAATCAACTTTCTCTATTCAATGAGCCTGAATTTGCTCCTTGAATTAGTAATTTAGATATCGTTGTTTATTTACCCTCACTAGATATCGTTGTTTATTTACCATCGACTTTGAAGTCATTGTGGCCAAGTGGTAAGCACGCTAGGTTCTCAAATTTTGGCCGAGCCGAGCCCGGTTTGAGCCAGGTAAAAGCTCTGCAAAAGCCTGCATAAATTAGTGTTTACATGAATATAAGTATGTTTGCAAGCTTTACATGACTCTAACTATGTTTGCAAGCTTTCCTATTTATGCCCGAATTTCTTTACAAAAAGCTAGAGCCTTACCTAAGCCCGGACTCAAAACAGGAGCTTAGCGGGCTTAGCTAGTGTCTAGCGCCTTGGAGTCTAGCGCACTCACCACTCAGCCACGGCGATCTATCTTCGAAGGACTCAAGATCGCTTGATACTTGGGCGATCAGATAAATAGTGCAACACGCCAAAAACTGCTTTTTTACACTCAAACTTCAAACGGATTTAAGTCGAAAATTTTAACTCATTACACAAAAACGGTCTAGATATTCAGAATCAACGAAAAATTTGCTAAAAAAATAGGTTATATCCAATTTTGAAAGTCGGTAGCAAACGATTTTCGAAAATTTGAAACTTCGAAACGATTTTAGTCAGGTAATACCTTTAGGAATCGATAATTTTTAAAACC